GAACCATACACATATATTAGTCATTAGCACATAATTAACATGTGTGTACGTGAACATATATGTATGTACGTATATATCATGTGTATACACATATGTATTATATATATTGCATGTGTGTACGTGTGCCGTGTACTGTGTAAGAAAAGGGGAAAAAAACAAAGGCAAAATTGCAAGAAAAAAAGTTTGAAATTTTCAAGATTACCTTTGTGTGAAGATCAATCTTGAACACAATTCTTGATTCGTTTCGTGCGTTTTAATCCACCAGTGAAGTTTGTGATGCTGGAAGGTCCTATTTATAGGTATTCTTGGTGGTTCAATATGGGTTGAATTGAAATTCTGAGTAAATCAGGACTCATAGTTTGATTGGGGTTTAAAGTTTGAATTAGAGTTGGGATTGCAGTTTAAGGGATCTCAGAATTTATATTTCTGGCACGGTAAAAAGATTATGGTTTCAGGCAAATTTAAATTGATGGGTTAAAGCTCGTGAGTCGTGACTGGCACGGTAAAGCATGATGGCTTCAAGGAAATTTAAATTGATTGATTAAAGCTTGTGAATTCATGTTTAATAGATTAAGACAAGGATGAGTTCATAATTACAACGGCAGTTGATGACTAGAGATTAAAATTCAACACGTTCTCGCTCCAAGCACATCAAGCAGCGTGTTCGGACAAATTTAGAACGGACAATTTGTAGTCACAGAAAATTTGAAATCGACAAATGGATTGGTTTATATGTGTTGAGCTTTGTTTGATAAAATTGGACCAATTAAAGTGGCAAAATTATCCGAATTAAATATAAATTGAAGACTAGTGGACTCAGATTATATGGACTGATCCATATTTGGCCCAGCAAGAAAATATTTAAATTAATTATTTAATTGGAATATGTGATAAGATATTTATATATTTAAAATAATTAATTATTTAATTTGAATATGTGATAAGATTATGAATCTGGATGCAATGGTGACTAGATGCATTCTGGATAAATGTTCATATTATCCTAAAATATTAATTGATAATATAAGGATAATATTGAAGAGTTTGGGTTCTAGTGGAAGTCTCTTATATTCTTCCATATAAATAGAGCTCTTCATCCATTTTAAAGAACACACTTGAAGAATTGAAGAGAACCTCTGGATTGAAGATCAAATCAAGCTAGAGGATTGGAGATCAAATCAAGTTATGTGGATTGAAAATTAAATATTTCATCCATTCAAGCTAAGTTAAAGTGGACTGAAGATCAAGCCAATTAAAGATCGGAGACTCTAACAAGTCAGCAAAGTTTTCAACTCAGTAAATCAAGTGAAGAATCAGAGGACTTCTTGATAGATATCTTGTACCCGCGCAATTTTGAAATTTGAATATATAAAATGCTGTGCATTCTATTATATAATCTGTACATTCGAAACATGGGAATTTTTCGTTATAAAATTTTGTGTTTCATGTATAAAATTATGTGCATTCTATTATATAATTTTGTACACTCTAAACATGGGAATTTTTCGTTATAAAATTTTGTGTTTTCAGATATAAAATTATGTGTATTCTATTATACAATTCTATAGATTCGAAACATGAATTTTTTTTAAGGAGTTAACACAGCATACACGCGAAAAGGTCCAAAATGACGTCATTTTGGGTCATGACGCACAATGGTGCTAATACAAAACGGACACCTTCCGAATATCACTAGACACTAGCAATGCTATGACATTGCTTAACAATCCGTCCAACATATTTGAAGATCCAAATTACACTATAAGAGTTAATTACCTATTTGGTCCCTCGATTATGAGGATTTCACCAATTTGATTCTCGACTTTTCAAATTCTTCAATTTAGTCTCCGACTATGTTTTATTTATTTATTTATTTATTTATTTATTTTTTATACCCAAATTGGTCCTAATCGTTAGTCGTCTGTTACTCGAGACCAAATTGATAATTTTACCATAGTCGAGGGACCATTTCGGTCATCACATGCATCATGTTCTCTGAAAGTTAATTATTGAAATGGTCCCTTGACTATAACAAAATTATCAATTTGGTCCCGAGTTAACGGACATCTAACGGTTAGGAACATTTGGGTAAAAAAGCATAGTGGAAGACTAAATTGAAGAATTTTGAAAATTGAAGACCAAATTGGTAAAATTCTTATAGTCGGGGGACCAAATCAGTAATTAACTTTACACTATAATTACCGATGTCTTTTGAAATTGGGTAATTGGTATAATTATGTACTCCGTATAATTTTAGGATGAAAAAATACCAATTTTGGTCCCACGAGTATTAACAAAATGACAGTTTTGGTCCACATGTTTAATTCCTACCAATTTTCATCCACGACTATAGTTTTAGCACCAATTTTTATCCACAACTATTGTTCTAGTGCCAAAATTCATCACACTGGTCACCCCTTTGTTTAAGACATGTCGAAATATGAAATTATTAAGGGCAGTTTCGTGCTTTTCAAATTAAGATCCCTTTTTGAGCATGAATAAAAGAATTTAAACCCTAAGATCTATACCAATTCGCAGTTTTCTTCCTCAAATGAAGATATGATGAAAAGGAGAAATGCGAATTGAGATCGATTTTAGGGCTTAAATTCATTTAGTTATGCTCAAATTGAAATCTTAAGTTGAAAAGGACGAAAATGCCTTTAAATTTTTAAATTTCAGGATGTTTTAAATAGATAGGTGACAGACGTGATGAATTTTGGTACTAAAATAATAGACGTGGATTAAAATTGGTACTAAAACAATAGTCGTAGATGAAAATTGGTAGGAATTAAACATGTGGACTAAAACCGTCATTTTACTAATACTCGTGGGACTAAAATTGGTATTTGCTCTTTTAGGATTGTAAGTACATTAGAGGATTGTATCATATCCGATACAACTAAAAAAATAATTTTTTTTTTTTTTTGGTGTAAACCACACATTGTAGTTCGGGTCTTTCTCCGTCCGTTTAACGATCCAGATCCACCCGGTTCGCTCCGGGAGGCACAGAAACTAGCCCAAAGGAAATCTAACTAAAAAAATATATGATTGTACTTTATGTCTTTATGCAAAAGACACTAATGTTGATCAAATATTGTATATATATTTATATGATTGTACTTTGTCTTTATGCAAAAGACACTAATGTTGATCAAATATTGTATATATATTTTTAAAAATTTATATTTAAAAATACTTCAAATTAATTATAACAAATAATTCACAAATTTTTAAAATAACATTAAAAAAGGATGTTTAGTTCAAGAAATGTTTTGAAATATATAATATTTTCAAAAAATTTAGGTAACTTTAAAATATGAGAAGAATGTGATTCTCATGAGAATATCATATATTTTAAGGTGACCTTATATTTTCATGAATGGTTGAAGGGAGTCTGATATTAATAGTTCAAGTTCAGAACAAGTGGTTTCAAAATCGATAATTCGAATCTTTTTTTTTTTAATTCTATGTTTTTTGTTTTTTTTTTTTCAATTTTAATTTCAATTGTTAAAACTATCCATATTCAACTGTTATTTTTAAGAATTTTTTTAATTCCAAACAATTTTTAGATCAAATGTAGAATTTTTTTAGTAGTTTCTAGTAATAGCTTATTTTGGAATTGTAAAAAATATAACATTGTAACAGTTTTAATTAAAATATTTTAAATAACACCCGTAGTGATTTTTTTGTTTAATTTTTTAAATGAATATATACGTTCATAAAATTGCTACGCTAAGTTTATAAAGTCATTAAACTATTATAAATTCTTAAGTAACTATTATAGATTCATAAAGTTACCATTATAGTTTCATAAAGACTATTACAAAATTCACAAAGCTACTATTGCACTTTCATTAGCAGCATGTTTGGTTCACTAAATGAATAAAAATAGACATGGAGTAGGAGAATTACTAACCTGGGATAGAAGAGTAATGAATTCCAAGCAAGGGAACAAACATAAATATATAATTGTATGTAAGAGAAAATTTCAATTTTGGTCCACTGACTATTGGGGTTGTGTTAATTGCAACACTTGACTTTCAAAAATGTTAATTGAGTACCTTGACTATGCAATTTCTTTCAATTTTGGTCACTCCGGCCAAATTACCGGCCAAATCTCACCGGAAAAATTTAATAAGTCAAATAAGGAGGGTATTTTAGTCATTTGATCGTCTTTTCTTTCTTCCCCGGTGAGTTTTTCCATTTCCGGCGAAATTCGATGAGTTTCCCGATTCTCTTAGATGCGGCGGAGAGGAGAGGGGATGGGAGTCGGCAGAGTAAAATCGTCGGATGAATTAAATGCTCAACCACTAGCTACCAACCGAAGCAGTGCTGAACAGAGTAAGGTAACTAAGAGCATCAATGATCTGGCAAGTAGAATCGTCAGCTTCCACCAACAAAACTCTGAGCACCATCTTCGTCAGAAAGCTCTCCCACCTCAACGCCGTCGCAGCCGTCTGCGGCGGTTCTGCGCTGTTTGTTTCCCTATTCTTCCCCTGTTTCGCCTCGATTACTTCCATATGCTTTGTTTCTTGAACTCCGAACTCCGTTCCGCCGCCGTTCGCCTGCGCTTCACCCATTCTCCCTAGCAAAATAAACCCACCACTCTTTCCGATATTCGGTGCTCCAGTAATAGAAAAAACCAACAGTAGTGTGTCGAAGGTGGTGAAATTCAATGTTGTGTCATGTCTGGTTTCTCATTGCTTTGCCATCTAAAAATAGCCTCGCCGGAGCGACTGATTTTGAGCCGGCATACTCGCTGGAAATGGAGTTGCTCGCCGGAGAAGAAAGGTAAAAAGTAAAATGACCAAAAAAGCCCTCATTATTTGACCTATTAAAAATTTCCGGTGAGATTTGACCGGTAATTTGGTCGGAGTGACCAAAATTGAAAGAAATTGCATAGTCAAGGTATTCAATTAACATTTTTGAAAGTCAAGTGTTGCAATTAACACAACCCCAATAGTCAGTGGACCAAAATTGAAATTTTCTCTTGTATGTAATTACAGCAGAATAAGCACTTTGTATCTCCAATTCATACACTAATCCTTTTTTTGGAACATTATCCAGTCACTAGTACAATGAAGAAGGGATGAACAATGGTACACAATGAATATCTTTCAACTCAACCTTGGATAATTTTTTCCATGAAAACTCCTGTTTGGACCAAATGGATCGTTCAATGCCCCGTTTTGGAGTGTCTAATGTTTATAAATTTATGAGTCTAGGCTATCGTCCAACATTGACAATATATGAATAAATAAAGCATACCCGTTTAAGGTACAAGTCTTCGGTTAGATTGCCATCACCATTAAACAATATTCTGTCATTTCTTGGATTATCATTTCAGCAGTGGAGTTTCTGTGGTTTCAGACTGAAAGAAGGAGAGCAACATTAGTATAATTAGAATGATAATTAGCATATTTTTCCTGGATAGCAAACCATTTCTGTAACCCTTATATAAAATGTTTATTAATATTCTTTAAAAGAAATTTTTAAAAAAAAAAACCATTAAAACAGTAAAGCAGCATAACATACCGGGAATGACTCTTGGATCAACACTGCTAACAAAAGCATGTCTATTGTCTGGAAAAAGAGTCTACAAAGTGTAATCTGTGGATCAAACAGAAGATTTCTTGCTTTATCATCGCCTCTTCAAACTATATCGATTGTGTAACTCCAAAAGCTGCTCAAGAGACACGAAAGACCATTTATCCTCGGTTTGTGCCAATACCTTCTGATTCAGAGAGTCTATTATTATGCTTATGCTACCAAAGCCATATATTTGATGACCATCATGTATCCTGCCTGGCTTTGGCTTGAATAGCAAACCATTCTGCTGCGCATGAACTTCTATTACTTCTTTCAAGCTGAGCTCTGATCCACCGTCTTTACCATCTCCTTGTAGCCCACCACTCAAGTTTGCTTGAGCTTGGGCTGCCGCCTTCTTCTGGGTCTCAAACTGCCTCTGTTCAAGTGCTCTGAGATAACTTATATTCTCTCTCAAACCTGGCTGGACTACCTCCATGCCTTCAGCAGCCTGGTTCATCATATCCAGACCAACATTAAGCCTATAGCGGATATGATCATTTGCAAGAAGTTCGGGTGGGAAAAGTTCCTTCCAACCTAAATACCATTTAGTAACTTCTTCAAAGTTTGGATTTGAACACAACCAATGGTATAAAACTTCTTGCCACTTGTTGAAGAAGATGTCCATAAGTGGAAGCATGTGATGAATGGGAATAGCAGTAGCCCATGTCTGGACCCAGTAAAACTGATCAAGGTTTTGATTTGATGGGTTTAATTGGAATTCATGCATGACAGCCAGCAACTTTGGGACAATAAATCTTACCATCAGCTTTTCCCAACTGCTTGGATCAAACACAGTCTTCCAAGGTGACAATATGTAGTATGCAGACATATCACTTGGGTGCCAAGCATGAAGTACACTTTCCAATCTGCAACGTATAGTGTGATAGCATGTTTCCAGCTTCTGTCCCAACAAGGGCAGCCAAGGATGAATCCAAGAATGGATTGGAATCGTCTCTCGACGGGGATCCCACGAATCCACAGCAGCTGATAATTTTGGCAAAATAATGTTATCCAGAATGGTGTGAAGGACTGCAGGAGGCAACAGCTTCTCCCAGGAATCCAAAAATCGAAGCATGGGTTCTGGATCCCTAGCCTGCCAAGTGTTGGTCCCAGATATTCTTATAGCAGGAAAAACTACTTCCATAAACAGCTGACAATAAGGAGATGCCATATCAGAGAAACCAAAAGAGTTGTCTTCCAATAGATTCTTCCACAAAGAAACAATCTCTAACCCATGTGTTGGATTTTGAAGCGGGTCCCATCCCTGAAATACTCTAATAAACAGAGGCAGAGCATACGAACATGCTATGGATGACAAATTACAAAGTTTATAATCATCAGCATAACGTTGTTGCAAATCTAGAAATGAGTTTGCAAGTGAGTCAAGAGTCAATGTACCCTCTTTACTCTCTCCACCTATCCGGTCCAATTCATTCATAATGTTTTCCATATTTTCAAGCTGTTTTTTCTGGTGAACTGCCTCAGCTTGGAGTTTCTCCTTCTCTTTCTGCAAAGCAACCGCTGTCTCCCTTTCATTTCTCAAATCCCGATCAATTTTTTGTATGTCAAGCTCTGCTAAATCAACAATCAAATTGACATTGTGCTGAAATTCAGGCATAGGAATATCATTTTCCCTTGCTTTTTCTTCAGCATTTAAGTTCTCCAGGTTTGTCAATACCCGAACTTGTGGACCCCTCATATCAAACACCTTTTGAACAACATCAAGACTCTGCTCTTGCTTCCTGGCCAGCAATTCGTCTGCTGTTATGTAAAGCTTCTTTTTTGAAGCTTGCTTCAGCCAGGGCTTCTCTCTTTTGTGGCTTTCCAATGGCTGAGCAGGAAGAGGGGTAGACTTTGCTTCTGATTCTTGAAGTGCTGGCACCTTAGTCTCTTTGTAGTCATTGAAACCCATTCCCATGTTCTTGGGTCGCAACTTTGCTTCAATAGGAGCTGTGATACCTTGTTTATTCTTCCCAAGGCCACCTCCCTTATAACCCATCTTTTCAAGCAACTTCATCCCAATCCCCTTAGTGTGCTTCTCAAAGGATCCAACGTCACCCGCGACTGGTTCTTTCCTCTCAGCCTGAGAAGATTTTTTGGCTAACACTGACTTCTCCTTTTCCTTCTCCCGTCTCAACAGTGCGCCTTCCTTGATCTTCTTTCCAAAAGCAGAGGGAAGAAAATTGTCAACATCTCCCTCTCCATCCCCATGAGTGGTCTTTGAACCAAATCCAAGGCCAGAAGATGATGCTCCAGCCCCCAGAACAGGCGGCCTATCATCATCATCCTCTTCCATCTCTTTCAAATCCTCCTTAAGATCACTATCAATTTCCTGGTTGGGCATTACACTCCCGGTGGAGACAAAGTGAACAGGCTTGGTAAGGTCTGGCTTCTTAGAAAGGTCTTTCTTCCGCTTTCTGGAGGAACCTAACCCCTTTCCCTCATAGTCCGAGTCACTGTCCCCAGAAGCAAAAATGCCATAGAGAACATCGTCTTTGGTCTGCGTCCGCTTCTCCTTGCGGTTACGGTAGTAAAACTCACCACCAATCCACTGACCGTCATCAAAATCATTCTCCATCCCAAATCTTTCCATCTCCTGGTCCTCATCCATCTTCACACCCTCCTTATAAACTGCAGAAACACTTACAAGTCAACACAATAAACTCTAATCAAAACGAATAATTGCCATTAAGTAAGCACAACAACACTCAAACTTGCAAAAAAAAATCAGCAAATCAACCCATATTAATAAATTTCAGATAGGGGTGATCAATCAGTCAGCTGAATAACCGATGGGGTTTTTTGACCGGCATAACCGACTGAAAATCCGACCTGGGTTTTGGTCGGTTGCTGAAAAACCGAACAATTAACAAGCATGGTTATTTCTCAAACACAGTGATACATCAAATAATAATGAACCATTACACAGTATGGTTATTTCTCAAAGTCAGTAATATACAAATATACAATGATACAACCATAGTAGGGTTATTTACTTATTTCTCAAAAGTTTACATAAAATAATAATGAACCATTAAACGGTAAGTCGGTAACACACTGTCCAGACTCCACAATTAATTTTCAAACAATTAGAGCTCCATATATTCGCAGAAAATCCAGCATATATAATGTATGAAATTCCTTTTAATTTTAATATGTAAAAATTTACCTTGAGGGAGTGGAGTTGCAGTCGCTGAGTCCCGTACGGTCGCCGGTGAGTCGCTGACCGTCTGAGGATGTGAGGAGCGACCGAGCGAGGGCGAAGGGCGTGAGGGAGTGAGGCGGTGAGAGACGAATGACGAGGGCGAACTGCCGGACTGCGGAGGGAGAGACAGAGAGTGGTCGTCTTGGTCACTGGTCGAGAGTCGAGACAGTCAGAAAGAGAGATTTGAGAAAGAAGGGGAAGGGCTAATTGGGTTTTGTTTTTCTATTGGGCTAAATTTTTTTACTTTTGGCTATTAGAGTATCCTCAATAATCATAGATTTTGAGAATTTTATTTTTATTTTTATTTTTATTTTTTTTGTAGATGATTAAGAAAAAAGATGGAAATGAAGGAAAAAGTAAAATAAAATCTGAAAAAAAAAAAGAAAAAATGGTTGTAGATTAACGCTCCCAGCAAGCACGTGAAGTGCACGAGTCCGATTGGATGCATTCTGGTGTTATTCACGCGGCAAGTGACATTTTTTATAGGTGGATTCCATTTTGGAGACAAAACAAAAAGAAAAAGTTCTTGCACAAGGAAAATACTGCTTGTGTATTCTCAACTTTTACTCATTCTCACAAATCATGGATGTAGACAATTTTTTCTGGGCCCACAAGATGAAAATATCTTGAGAAAATGTGACAAAATTAGCATGTATTTCTAAAATTAGGACTTTTTTTCTAAAAATTGGACAAAATTAGAAAAAAGACATTTGAAAAATGTGTTTTATGTCAATCCCGATCAAACACAAACGTAAGTGGAAGATAGTCCCACTTGCCTATGTTTTTTTTTTTTTTCCTTTTTAATCTTGGTCTCTGGCAATCAATTTTGGACAAAAAATTATTTGGTACTCTGACGGGTCATATATGCAGAGAGGGAGAGGCCTAAGTTTTTTCTCTATGTCTGCTGGGTTAATTACACTGTCATCCCAACCCTCAAATGGAGCTCTACTTCAAGAGCAAACACATGAGAAGTCTGCCAATCGTGCTAATCACAAGTGCGACACAAAGAAGGCACATGAAAAATAAAATATAGACTACAAATTGAAGAGAAATTCTGAGAAAATAAGATATAATGAGGGGGTGAATTTACCTTGGAGAGAAGCGACGACCGGTAGTGAATCGGAGAAGGTAGTCACGAAGGTGAGAAGAGATGGAATTCAGACGACAGACGACGTGATATGGGGACAGGAGGCAGATGGGAAGGTGAGAACTAAGCGAAGGAGGCAAACACAAAGGTGAGAACTGAGCGAAAAATTAAGGATTTCAAAAAAATAACATTGTCATTTTACAAATAAAATCAATAAACTATTCTAGGTATAGAAGCATTTAGTATTTTGACTGATAAGCCCAATCAGCCAAGACCCATAAGCCATTTATCAAATACTCCAAATCAATTTATTCATAGGATCAAACTACTAAACATCAATCGTACCAGGACTATATGGTCTAATGGTATCCGGGTTGAACTTCCATTTGGAAGATTATGATTATGATTTCGAGCCTCAGTGGAGAAAGTATATTAACAGATACTACAATGTAATAGAGCTAGTAACGTAACTTCCAACAAAAAAAACTTAAAAACCCGGTAAGTTGCTGTGACTATGTATATTCTGTACATTCTAATTAGAAAATTTTTGTGTATTATGTGTATTATCTTTTAAAAAAGAGTATGTATATTTTGTTATATAATTATGTACATTCATGTATACAATTATGTGTATTCTAGTATAACATTATGTACATTTTTGAACATGATTTTTTTTTTAAAGAAAAATTAACTGCCAAACACTGGAGCGGGAAATTTCAAAAAAAAAAAAAATTAAAATGAAGTCGTTTTGCATCTAGCCGCACAATGCAACGCGCGCCGTGGTACATGATATAAATTGCCACTAAACATGGTCCAAACAACCATTTTTTGACTGATAAGGCAATAACCAAACACTCCCTTAATCAAAATTTTCGTACCGATTCAGCGGCGGCGTGTGTCTCTCTCTCTTAACTTGCGAATTCGGGCAGCAGAAGTATCAATGGCAGCTCGACAGATTCAACGGCGCCTTCTCTCTCTCCTCGCAGCCAGTCAGCCTCAGTTTCAGACCCCCGCCCGTCGCTTCAGAGGTACTTAATTTTAAGCCCTAAATTTCACAAAAAATACATGTCCATTCCACTTGAAGCCATGAATTCTGGATGGACATGCCATAAATTTTGAATCTTTTTCTACGGGGGATTATCTATATTTGTGTGTAGGGGTGTTTCTGGTCTCGAAATATCTTTCAATGATCAATATTAGGGAAAAAATGGAAGTGTTTATATTTTTCCTCACTGTCATATATGCATTTCACCATATAAGCAGCTAACTATTTTGAATCATATATTGTCGCTTGTCTATTGATGCTGTGGAGCATATTCTGGTTATACTAATAACCTTTAAGAGCTGCAGCATCTTTGTGAATTTTGCATATTGAAAGTTACAATAATGGTAGTCTTGTTTGTGGGCTTGGTTGAGGAATGAAAATGAATAAAATTTTCTCTGAAAGAGACTGAATCCATGGAATTTCGTTTCAATGTGTGTACAGGGAATATGAAATAGTACTAATATGGATTAATATCTTTTAATTCTTTTACAAAGAATGAAAGGAGAATTGCTAACAGATTATTTGTTTTCTTTCTAAATAATCTGTGCTGAGCTCTGGACTATGGCATCAAGCCCAAACTTTGAAAAGGTTTTTCTAGTCTCCAGGCTCCTGTATGTTGCAGGCTATGAGGAAGAAAGATTTGTAGATTCTTGGGAAGGAACATTGCTTTGTTCAGTTATATCACTGGGCAACTAACTTCATTGAATATTTTCGAGATTTTCTTCACTTGGAGTGTATATTATTGTTTGTTTACAGTTGTGTTTTTTTCAGTATGGCAAAGTATATCTTTCTGAGAATACCATTTGCTTATCTCATGATTTTTTTTTTCCTAGAAGTGGCTTTCTGTATTGTGCTATCATCACCTGTTCACGTAGAAGTTTATTTCTCTTTTCTAAAGTTGCTAAACAGTGATGGAATGACTATTTTTCCTAATCGTAACACATATTATGGCTGATATATGGTGATATTTCTGGTTATACCTTTACCCTTGCAACTTCTGCATGTCTTGATCAAGTTTTGGCATACTATTGTGTTTCTTATATATGGTTTTTTTTTTTTTTTTTTTTTAATAACTTTGTGTATGGCTGCAGAATCGTCCTGGCCTTTTCTTTCCTCGACAAGTTCATTTTTAAGCAGGGATGACATTCACAGCAGAAGTCTAGGAACACTTGCAGAAGCCAGTAAACAGGATGGTGAAACTGGGGAAGAACTTGAAAGTTGCGGTGTATCTGCTAACTCTGCCCCTAGTCCAATCAACAGCAATACCATGATAAAGCAGATGACATCAAATTTGAAGATCTCTCCAAGACACGACCTTCTTATGTTCTTTACATGCAAGAGGTGCGAAACCCGGTCCATGAAGTCAGTTTGTCGTGAGTCATATTACAAAGGGGTCGTGGTGGCTAGATGTGATGGGTGCAATAATTTGCACCTCATTGCTGATCGGTTGGGGTGGTTCGGAGAACCTAGTAGTGTGGAGGACTTTCTGGCTGCTCGTGGGGAGGAAGTGAAAAAAGGTTCTCCAGAAACTTTAGGTTTAACACTTGAAGATCTGGCTGGAAAGAATAATCTTGAGAAGTGTTTAGAGAAAGAAGATTGAGAATTCAGGGTGTGAGAAATGGGCAGAATGTTACATAGGCCCTTGTGGTGAAGTTACACTAGAAAGTTGTTTCCCCCATTCTGCACTTCATCTGGTATTGGGAAGCTATTCATTGTGGGAAATTGACAATTGATAGATGTTGTGGTTATTTATATATTGATTTTTCTCAAAGGAATTGAAACAAGTTCACCTACGAGGTCAACGTACAAATAATTACAAGAAATTTATATTGGTTTTATCGATAGGTATTAGATCCAAATGGAATCCCAAAAGCTTGTTGGGCAGTTGTCGTGGGCGTAGGGTGATTATTTGAGAAATAAGTTTAAAAATATTTCTATTTGAAAAAATAAGATTTCAAAGTATTCTTGTTAGGATTTTTTTTTTTTTTTTTTTTTTTTTTGGGTCCAAGTCTTCCAAATAAAATCAAATTAAAAAGTGGCCCAAGTCTTATAAATAAAATGAAATTTAAAAAATTAATATAAAAATTTGGAGTGATCAAGCATACGCGTTGGTCTGTGCACACGCCGTGCTTATTTTTTTTCTTTCCAAAATTAATTAAGAATCCCTAACCCTTATCCTTCGCAACTCGCTCCTTCCCCAACAAATGCAATGCTCCGCTCCTTCCCCAACAAATGCAAAGCTCGCTCCTTCTGCAATCTCCCGATGTTTCTGCTCGTCCTCTACTTGCTCTGCATTGCCTGCACATTTTTGATGAGTTCTCGTCATCGCCGATCACCGTCGACATCAACTGGTACTAAGTTCATTAGTGTCATATTAATTTTGCCTTAGTATTGCACTATTGCCTTTGCCAATTAACCCGTGTTACATGGTGGAAATGAGTTTACTTATCTAAAATGGTAGAAATTAGTTATAGATCTAGGGTACGCGCTCTTCCCTTGTAAGTGAAATAGAGTATAATTACCTAAAATAAAGATGATCAATGATGAGAAATTTGATTTTTCTGAAAGGAATTGAAACAAGTTCACCTACCTGAAATGGTAGAAATTGTCAAATGATCTATGCTTACAAGTGAAATAGAGTATAATTACAAAATAGAATGGTGAATGATAATGAGATCGAGTCGAGTTGTTTGCAAAAATGGAAGAATTTGGTGAGAAACGATTCGAGGGTGAACCAATCTATTGAGTTGGGGATCTAATTAAAAATGCAAGAAATGGTGAATTAGGGTGAACACAATTTGTGATCTATGACTCCATTGTCTAGCTAGACCAGCCGTCGTCTACTCGTCCTCCGCTTACTCTGCACCGTTGTGCCGCCTGTACGTCTTCTCTAAGTTTTCGTCGTTGCGGGTGACATCGACTGGTACTAAGTTCATTAGTGGCATATTAACTTTTTTTTTTAATTTTTATATAAAACTGGAAGGGGGAAACCCGAGTTGTAGTACATCAATTAGCTGGAGTTATAAACCTCCCGCCATCTAGGCACACCGGAAATATCATCTTCAATAAGTCCTAAGATTTCATATTAACTTTAATTTGCCTTAGTATTGCACTATTGTTAGAGTTTCAATAATTTTTTTTTTTTTATTAAAAAAAAATTAGTTGGCCACCTAGGCACCTTAAGTGCTAGGCATTCCCAAAATACCCGAGTAGAGCCTAAGACATTCTGCAACATTGGATTGCACTTATATATATACTAGTTTTTTACGCGCAATGCGCGATTGGGATAATGCCCAATATTTTTCTTAAATAAGTATTTTAAAGTATATCAAGGCAAGATTATATTGGAATTGTTCATGCATAGATAATTGGATGTTGAATTTGCGTATTTAAATTGGTAATTCTAAGTTTACAAATGCAAGATAATATATTCAAGATTGATTATAATTGTCAATAAAATAATTGTATGGGTATGGTTTAAACCAAATACGGGACATAAGGGAGAGCAAATAAAAATTAAAGCATAAAATATTAAATATATGCTAATATTGTTTGAGGAGATTCCGACTGTAGGATTTGTGGTTAGAGTTCTATTAAGAATTTAATATTAGAATTAGATTAATGTTGTAGTTATAATTCTATATTAGACTTTAATATTAGAATTAGAGTAATGGTGAATTAAAGGTACTTAATGTAAAAGTTAACGGATCACATAATCATATAATTAAGGATAAATTAGAAAATCTCAAGGAAAAATTAAAATCTGAATAATCTGAACTATTCATTTGATTTAATAATTTGACGGTTATTTTTTCTACCTAATGTTTATAATTAAATAAATATTTGAAACTATATCAATGCAAGATTATATATGAGAAGTTCAACATAAGTAATTTAATGTCTAATTTGTTTATTTAAATATGTAATTCATAAGTATACGAATACAATGTAATATAGGAGATTCATTATAATTGTTACTAAACTTTTTTTTAAATAGTAACCAAGTATTTTTGTTGCAAAGGGTTCTAATATATTTAATGAATGCACATATATACAAGATCAATGAATGAATCAACGGTACCAATCCTTTAGGTGTTTTTGCTCAGTGTTCATTTAGTTCAACCATTATTGTTGAATAAATTATTATGGATACAGAAATTTCTAATTTAAGGAATTTAGATGTAGTAAAAATTTAAAATTTTTAATTATAATGTAACTCAAATATATTGGACGATTAGTAAATATGATGTAACCCAAAGATCAAAATGCTAAAGAAAGTGTTTTGGTTATTCAACAGTTTGAAGCAACAATTTGTTCCAAACCACTGAAAATACAAACATTGCAATTTACAATATTTTCACTTAGCGTTTTTAAGAATGATTTCCGCAAAACACATCTATATTTAAATAGTTAATTTTTTCAAATATCTTTTCACCAACCGTTGATGTAATTCGCTGGTCAAATCCGATAATGCTAACCGCTAACTGTTGATTGTCAAACAAGGACACTGCGAGATAGTTTCTCACTTCAATTTGTTGTGTGATTTGAATACACTCTTTGTCAACCAATCCCTCAAATAGTTAATATGATTGGCTTTATTAATTTATTTTTTAAAATTTTTTTCATGGTATTAATAAAATACTTTGGTAAATAAATATATAACATGATTTTGTATTATAACTTTGATATTTAATTAAAAAATAGTGCACAAAAAAGATAATAGACAATGTAGTGAATATATATAATCAATTGATGAATTTGAATGTAAAGAATTTTTACATTGGAGAAAAATAAAGACAATATAACTAATGAAATTATTTTTCTTAATTAATTTATTGATAATGAATAATTTTTTTTTTAATAAAGACATTGTAGGGACAATGTAGCGAATATAATCAATTAATAAATTTGAAGTTTGAATGTAAAGAATTTTTATATTGGAGCAAAAATAAAGACAATATAACTAATGAAATTATTTATCTTATTTAATTTATTGATAATGAATAATTTTTTTTTAATAAATGCATTGTAGACACAGAATTCTAAATCAAAGAAATGCATATGTATTATTTTTTGTTGTAGCTACTAAATTATTATTTAATTTAATAAGAGTAAAATAGAGTACTAAATATGCCAACTTTGATTAGGATGGGGTTCGAACCTAAGACCTTTCTTATTGAAATCAATGAGTAAGTTAACGGTGAACTAACATAAATTAACAGAAAAGATAATATTTAATGGAAAAGTTAACGGATAATCATATTCATTAAGGATAAATTAGGAAATCTCAAGGAAAAATTAAAATATGATCAATATGAGCCATTCATTTGATTAAAAATTTTGACCGCCATTTTTTCTACCGATTATAGGCCTAACTCTCTTGGACTCTTATTAGTATAGTAGATAGATATAAAAGATATATATAACAATCAAGTATCTTAATTTCTCAATTAAACTTGTATATGTTGAAACATTTATACATATTGCCTTGGTGTCATCCTAATAAAAACAAAGAACTATTCAAATAAAAAATAAAAATTTTGAAAATGATAGTCATCATCATCAGCTACAATAGAAAGTTGTTTCCCCTTTTCTGCACTTCATCTGCACTATTGAAACAATAAATAAATAACTGAAACCAACTCCAATCACTACATACACAAAAGAAATCAAAACACAATAATTATTCACACTTCAACCCCACAGTAATCAGAAAGTAACAATGCAAGTTCCAACAAACCAACATTAAAATTTAAAACACCTTCATATTCAGTTCCAACATTAAACCACCAAATACATACATACATATATAAGAAGGTGGACAAGATTCTATATTCATAATTACTGAACGTCAGCACCTTCAACTACCCTTATCTTCTTCCTCCTCCCTCCCCTTCTAGGCTGCGGCCCATCAGCCGGGTCTCTACGCCGATGAGGTGCCGGTGGAGGAGCATCACCATCATCATCTGCAACATCAGCTCCCTGAGCATCATCACTTGGCGGGATGGAGAGATCAGGACGACTTTCAAGCCTCTTCTCTTCACCAATAAGCTTCAAAGCTTCAACACATGCTTCATTAATGGCAAAGTATCCTTGATGCCCCTCAGTTATATCTGTATTTTTCTCCAATTCATCCCTTGCCATCCAGCTTATGCCATGAATCACCCTCGTCTGCAGCATTCCAATATAAATGGCAAAAACAGTCAAATTATGAATATGTATTAGGATCAAGAACTTACTGGAGAGGCAGGGTGTTGGGTTTGACCCTGAACCCTCCGTCCCAATCTTAAATGCACAGTTTGTATAGTTTTGACTATTGCTGAGACTCAAATCAAGTTATAGCTCGTAATAAATGTCTAACTGCAAGTGTTGGTCTTGACCCTTCACCGTCATCCATTGCTGGACTCGACCCTTCACGAGTCTCAGCCCAATAGAATGGATTGGTGATTTAACTTACCAGGTGTTCTAGTTTTGATGCTAAGGGCATGAATCCGCGAGCAGGACGGTGGACGGGGTTGGTGATGATGCGACGTCCGATCAATTCAAACCATTTATCATACTCGCCTTCCCAACTTCTATCGTCGTCATCATCAGCCACTGCACGCACGACATTTTCTTGGCGCTTTCCCCATTCTCTCACGTACTTGTCGTGTCGGAGGCTCCAATCTGCGCACCCTTTCCCTCTCCCGTCGATCTTGTGCAGTTTTGGTTCTGTGTCGAAGTTCGCCGGCGGTGGCTGCTTGAACTTCCCGAACTGACGGAGAACTCGGTCCGGCAGGTGCCACTCTACAACCTCGTACATGATCAGAGGCGACTTCGTCATCCAAATGCCCTCCCCGGCTTTGCAGTAATCTGGGTACTCATCCAAGTTGTCCCCGTAGGGTCTCCACTCAAACTGCACTCAAAACGCACAATTAAGTAGTTTGCAAGTTCATAGATTTATCTTAGTACATACTTCTCCCAAAAATGTTGAATCTCTAATCCGATAGAACATTTTAGATGATGAAAATTATCATTTTTTAAAATCATGATAATGACAAATTCAAACACAGGACCTTTCATAAATTGCACACATACCTTACTAACTTCACCAACTCATTTTTTTCTTTACTTTTAGGGGCCCACAGTGTAGCTCTGCCCTATGACAGAGCCAAATAGATTTGTCCACTTTAGACATATAATTCTCATATTGTAGTTGATGTTCGAACCTTAGTTTCTTTTCTCAAATACTACCTATTGAATCATTTAATTAAATCCGTACGGACAATCATAATACGTACCTGATCACAAGTCATATGGTCAAGTTGATCTCTGTATGCTTTCAAGACATGATTGGCTACATCATCAAAACATCGTTCACCAGACCACCTATAATAAACATATATAATGTGTTAAGTACAATATTTATAGCTTGGGTTATTTAGCTAATGGCTTCTTGAATAAAGTCATATAGTATTGGAATAATGTTGAAAGAAATTAATATAAAAAGTGACATACTAGGTTATGTACCTGGCACCCCTAGGTCGATCTGCTAAGTCTAGAGGAAATGACAACATTTTTGGGGAGAATAATGCAATATGCTCCCAAACCCAAAGTTGAAGAAGAATGAGGGCTCCACCAATTATACTTGCACTTTTCGTTGTTGCCTTACACATACTTCGATACAAGTAGGCAAGGACAGCACTGCCCCAACTGTATTCACTAGCACCCTTTAAATCGGCAATATGGTCTAAGAAACATAACTTTACCATGTTGTTTGATGTGGTGGGGAACAACATTCCACCTAGTAACTGCATGATACGCAGTCGGGCCATACGTTGCACTTCTTCGTCTGTGGAATGCTCAGTCAGAGGTATCGGGTTCTGCAAACAAGTAATGACCAAACGAGAGGCCCCAGGAATTGCTTCTTTTTCCGGCCTAACACCGAGGAGATCATGGCATGTGTCACACCACTCTTCACTAGTTCGTTGGGGGAAACTGCCCGTCACGGCCAAGCCATCAACTCGTAGTCCTAAGAGCATCTCAACATCCTGCAATGTGATCGTGACTTCCCCGAAAGGGAGCTGGAAACAATGGGTTTCAGGTCGCCACCTATCCACCATTGCAGTGATTAGAGGCCAATCTAACATTATAAATCCCAATCTTGACACCCCATAAAAGCCAGCCAGTCGAATGTAAGTCATAATTCTATCATCTGATTGTAGTTTTGCATCCCAAAAAGAGCTGTCATATCTACAACACCTTAAGGGCTCATTCATGCGATGAGATTCTTTCCAAACTTTAGTAGATCTGTGAGGCTTTTGCTGAGTAAGAACAGAATGACAAATGGGACCTGGTTCAAGTTGTGCCATATCCTACCATACAAAGCCAAGTGAAATAAAATATATTCAAATACAGATATTGTAATTCTCTGCCATACACACATGATCGAAACTAAACATTTTAGTTATTTAGATGATAAAACAACTATGACAAGATAATAATGAAATGTAAGAAAGGCATAAACTAATGGAAAAATAAATTATCACTCCTATTTTATTTGGTAAATTCAAAATTAAGTTATAGATTTACCACTAATAGAAATTATAGAATTTCCGACTACCTAAAAGTGATCTTAAATCAAGTTAATATCAAAAAGTGGTCGGAAATAGCAACAAAGGTTTTTCCAGATACCAAAAGTGGTCGGAACAAGACTTTCGACTTGATTTAAGATCACTTTCAGGTGGTCGGAAATTTCATAATTTCCAGTAGTGTACAATTCAATTTTTATATTAATTTAATTGTTTGTGTGTATACTTTGTATGCATAAACATTATATTAAAAGTTCTATTAAATAATTGAACATGAAGAATATTTAAGAAAATAAGTGGATAAACAATTTTTTTTTACCATTATGTTATTTCTCTTCATTTTCGTATACTTTTCTTCTCAAATTTTTTGAAGGGAATAATAGTCTTCAATAGAATATAGAATTGGATAATTTTATCCCAATTTCCAAACATAATTTGTCCATGTAATATTTCCTTACATTTTCTCTAATCTCATCCAAATAAGATAAACTAATTAAAACTTTCATAAAATTTTATAACTTCTTATCCTTTATTCTTTATAATATCCTCATTTTCTACCCGTCCAAACACATTGACAATGCCCATTGTGCTCATAGCTGATAAGTTGAAAAACTCCTAGGCAAAATTGAACCATAAATTACATGCATATTTTGATCGGATCACAAGTATTTCTATATATGTATTATTATTATGTAAGATCATATATAAAATCCTACATTCAAGGAATTTCAATATATAACACATGAAACTAAGTTGCTTTCCACTATATATCTTTAACACAACATATGATTGATACCAATAACACCCTAAAAGTTATTAAGATTTATGCACAAAATAAAGGTAGTAAAATACCTTTAGAAAAGGTAAATTAAGTATCCAATTTTCAGTGTACTAAAAAAAAAAAAAAATTTCCAATTTTCAGTATATACTCCATATATTGCTTTGTCATAAGTAACAATTATATTGTATATGTTTTTGTTGATTTATTTTTTATGCTTAGTCAGTCATTTAGTTTTTTTTTTTTTTTTTTTTTTTTTTTTTTTGAGAGGTAAAAATTAATTCATCATATCAGCACTTAGAATGTTTACAAGAAACAAAGGAGGGTGGTCATTCCACTCCTCGCAATCTGGCACAGAAACGGCTTGCCTAGCTATCGCATGAGCAGCGCGATTCGCAGATCGCCTTGCAAAATAGAAAATCACATCATGAAGTTTAGATGCGATTTCCTTTACATCAGTCATTTAGTTCTATTTTCATTATTTTATAAATATTTGTTTTTCAAAATAGAACACATCAAGAAAATAATTGTGTAACAATGTAATGAAAGCAAGAACACTACACATATACAATTTAAATGAAAATTTTCACGAAGTCAATTTATTATCCATTTATCTAGATCTCAAATAAAAAATAAAATAAAAATTGAGAGATCATATTTGAAGAAAAAATATTAACAAATGAGTTGAAAATATATGAATTGAAATTAATGTAGTTGAAATATATTTCACATCCCAAAAAAGGAAGTGATTGAAGTATAAGACCGAGTTGATTAGCTCTTAATGCGCAAATTATGCCGTGGAATCGTGTTCACCATGCTTGGTGAACACGGTCCTAAACGACATCGTTTTTACCGTTTTTTTTTTTTTTTTTTTTTTTTAAAGTTAATGTGCTGTTAACGGCGTTTTGCATTCTATGTTCAGATTATGAATTTATATTTATTAAATTATGAATTTTCTGTTATGAGATTATGAATTTACAGTTATATAATTATGAATTATATATATATTCATAATCTCATAACAGAAAATTCATAATCTCATAATAGAAAATTCATAATTTCATAACAGAAAATTCATAATCTCATAATAGAAAACTCATAATTTCATAACTGCACATTCATAAACCTTGCCTGCACATTCACAATTTATGAGTGTTGAAGAAACTTGCGCGAAGAGGAAGTGAAACCGCAAAATGTGAATATGAAAAGAAAAGTCGCGCTGTTAATTAGAAAAAAAAAAGAAAAAAGTAAAAGATTGGTGGAAGATAACGTTGCCAGTAGGCACCGTTACCGTTTGGGACCGTGTTCACCATCGATGGTGAACACGATTCCATGGCATAACGATTGCTCTTAATGTCATCAAAACGGGCTGGCAGGTCATGAGTTGGAAAAGAAATTGGGCCGGGCTTGGCCCAACCCGTTTTGAATTCGAGTTGACCCAACTCGGCTAAGCACAGCTGGGGGGCTAAATGGGCCAGCTCGCCAGCCCTTTTTTTTTTTTTTTTTTTTTTTTAATTTATATTATTTTAAAATTATCTAAATATTCATATGTACTAAAACTCAAACCCTAAACCTATTTGTGAAGAACTAGAATCTTTACCAACTAAACGCAAAGAAATTCTTGAACAAATGTCATGTGTACTTTTTTTTTTTTGAATGCTACTAGCTCTATTACAATATAGTATCTGTTCATATACTTTCTCAACCTACTGAAACACAAAGAGCTAATAACGGCTCCACTGAGGCTTGAACTCACAATCTTCCACATGTGTACTTATATATAATAGATGTTTAGATAATTAAATTTTAATTTATGTTTAAATAATTGGATTTTAATTTGTAATATAACTACAATTTATTATTTAATTTACATTTAACACTAACATAATTTATATGTTATATTTTATTTTATAATTACAATACTATTAAGTTATAAAGTTTATAAAATTTTTATAACTTTATATAGTTTATGTAATAAATAAATTTTATATTTACTATATAAATATATTAATATTTATATAAAGTTACAATTAATCATATTAATTAATAATTCATATTAAATTATATATATGAATGACATGAATAATGAATAATAACACATAACACAAGAATATTTATAAAGTGTTGTTAGCATAGTTGGTTTTTATAATGTTAGAATAATTGGAAGGTTTGGGGTTCAATTCTTGTAATAAATATTAATTTTAAACACTGATTCAAACTTCAAATACTCAAAATATAATTAAATAAATTTGGGGTGGGGTGAAAAGTGAGTTAAAATAAATTTGGGGTGGGGTGAAAAGTGAGTTATACGGGTTGGCCCGTGAGTTGCACTGGCCAAACCCGTAGAAATCGTTTACAATTTAGGATTTGCTTTTTTCATATGTGCAAGACAAAAAATAATACAAGTAAAATTACTTAAAACATATATGAACAACGGTGAGAAATCTATTCTTCCTCCAAGTAAATGAATTCACATACCTAAAATGGTCGAAATCGTCAGAAAATCTAGAGTTTGTTGTACCTGTTTAAGACTAAAAGTTATACCACTAAAATAGATAGAATTACCAAAAAGGAAGGTTTGCATAAAAAATTAAAACAACAAAAGGAACCAACCCCCAAAAAAAAAAACGCAGTAAAAAAAAAGAGGGATAAAACAATCACTGCCGGCCAACCCAAAATTCGCGTTCCATGTATTTGCATACGCTATTGCTCAATAATGGATACACGCTTTTATTAAATGGTAAATTCATAGGGTACTGTTTTTTTTTTTTTTTTTTAAAATTAAACATCTGTATTACTTTAAATGGCACATGCCATTTGTCTTCATCGCACAGGCCACCGCCATATGCGTATACGAACTGATTTCACATTTATAAAAAAACTTTTATCCAAATAACAACATGCATGAATTCAAGCTCACCGAAAATAACGATTTTTTTACATCACTAAGAAATTAAAAATACAAAATAATAAAATAATGGCATGGCAAAGGACGCACAAACCTTAAAAAAAAAAAAAGAACCGGAAAAAAACACCTTGCGAAACCCTAACATCTCTACCCACACCCGCAGCTTTCGGACGACATCCTAAGCAACCTACCGCCCAACACCGCCACACCACCCCATCACCCCCAACAACCGTCAACAACCCCCACGCAAAAACCCCACCCCACGGGAACATAGCTTTCGGACGAAAACCCTAAGCACCCTACCGCCCAACTGTGCCACGCCCCGCCACCAGCCCCAACAACCGTCCAAAACCCGCATGCAAACCCCGCCCCACCCCGGAACAAAAACCCATGCTGGAAACCGAAAACCCACACAAAAAAGACATGGAACTCGAAATACCTTTAGAGGCACCGGAAGAACTGCCCTCTTGATGCTTTCAATGCCTGATAGAAGAACTCACAAAAAACGGAGGAGTCTGCCTAACCCTTGCGTCACAACGATGGAGAAAACTCTGACTGGAGAGGAACTGAAGAGGCGGACGCGAACTGAAGAGCCACGGCAGTGAGAGAAAATTTTTGAAATTGATTTGATCCTAATAATAACGCTACAACCCTCTACACACGCGCGATAATAAATAAGGGAAAGAAATAAAGACAGTGATAAAAGACCACAATGACCCTAGCTACATTTAAACTCATCAGCACATGGGATCCAAATACAAATAATCTGAACCGTTAAAAATTAAAAATAAACGAACAAGATGTAGTCTCACGATCTCATCAGACTAGGGGGTCTCACTGGATCCTCTCTCTCTCTCTCTCTCTATATATATATATATATATATATATATATATATATATATATATATATATATATATATATATATATATATATATATATATATATATATATATATATAATGGGAAATTTGCATCTTTGGTCCCTGATGAGTTCAAATTAATGTAGTTGATCTAAAAGAGAAATAATAGAAGGATAAGATTGAGTTGATTAGTTCTTGTAGTGTTCCGTGGTGGAAATGAGTTTACTATCTAAAATGGTAGAAATTGGTTATAGATCTAGGGTATGCCCTCTTCACTTGTGCAAGACAAAAAATAGTGCAAGTGAAATAGAGTATAATTACCTAAAATAAAGACGAACAATGATGAGAAATTTGATTTGATTTTTCTCAAAGGAATTGAAACAAGTTCACCTACGAGGTCAACGTACAAATAATTATGAGAAATTTATAGTGATTTTATCCATACGTATTAGATCCAAAGGGAATCCCAAAAGCTTGTCGGGCAGTTCTCATGCGCGTAGAGTGATTATTTGAGAAATAAGTTTAAAAATATTTCTATTTGAAAAATAAGATTTCAAAGAATTCTTGTTAGGATTTTTTTTGTGGGGCCCAAGTCTGACAAATAAAATCAAATTAAAAAAATAAAATTAAAAAGTGGCCCAAGTCTTATAAATAAAATGAAATTTAAAAAATTTGTATAAAAAATTGGAGTGATCAAGCATACGCGTTGGTCCGTCCGTATTTTTTTCTTCCAAAATTAACTAAGAATCCCTAGCCCTTATCCTTCGCAACTCGCTCCTTCCCTAACAAATGCAATGCTCCGCTCATTCTCCAACAAATGCAAAGCTCCGCTCCTTCTGCAATCTCCCGATGTTTGCTAGTGTCACATGGTCCTTCTCCAACCGGACCAGCCGTCTTCTGCTCGTCCTCTACTTGCTCTGTGTTGCCTGCACGTCTTTGATGAGTTCTCGTCGTCGCCGGTCACCGGCGACATCAACTGGTACTAAGTTCATTAGTGGCATATTAAATTTTACCTTAGTATTGCACTATTGCCTTTGTCAATTAACCCGTGTTACATGGTGGAAATGAGTTTACTTATCTAAATTAGTTTACTTATATATATATATATATATATATATATATATATATATATATATATATATATTACATAATACCATATAAGTAATACACGTTAATTCAAAAAAGGTAAACATTAATAATATTTCCATAATTAGGTATTAATGTTTACCTTTTTTGAATTAACGTGTATTACTTATATGGTATTATGTAATATATATATATATATATATATTACATAATACCATATAAGAAATACACGTTAATTATTCCGTAATTAAAAAAATGTACACGTTAATAATATTTTCCATAATTAATTAGTCTATATTGTCGGCATACCTATGCTTACAAGTGACATAGAGTAGAATTACAAAAGATAATGGTGAACAATGGCGGAGGAGGTGTATGCCATGGGGGGCCTTGTGCCCCCCCCCCCCCCCCCCCCCCCCCCCCCCCTCAATTTTTAAAATATTATATATGTATTTTTTTTTAAATATTATATAGGATTTTAAAATTTTGTTGTTCCTTCAAAATATTTGACCCCCCTCCCACTTAAATTAATCTTCTCAACTTCTCCAGTTCTTTCTCATTTCAAATTATGTTTTTCCTATATTGTTGACTCATATTCAAATTAAACCT